TTTGGTGTGACAATTATCCATCCATTTGCATAGCTACAGAGTATGTGGGCCTTTGCTTGGTGCATCTCTACTGCAACCAGGATAGAATATTTCAGTAGAGCAATTTGAACTCTCTTTTAGCAGCAGACATTTTTCAGTCTTCATTTTTGTTCTCATCTAGTTTTGCTATGTGCAAGCAGAAACATTTACACTTGAAGGATGTAAAGTACGTGGAATAAGACAATTTGGCTTCAGTTCCATTTCCAGATTCATGAGGGACATCACTGTGTCACTTAAAATTGTTTACATGTTGAAAGTGCAGAAGAGGAATTTAGAGAATGAATGCATACACATCTTCATATCTCAGACTGGAGGCAACACTCAAGTATAAAAGAAATTGGATAATGACATTACATTCAGTATGGGAAATTCTTCACACATGAGGGAAACGATTTTTGAAACGTGTTGCCTCATAGCTAAATGATACTGCTAACCCAAATTTCCATGAGCCAGTGATCCCTAGAATTGTTTATGTAAGTTCTTCCTTCACCTTGTGACCACTGCTCCCTGAAAATCATTTTTATGACAATTGCTATTTTCCAGTGTTCTTTTTGATGCCCCATCTCAGCAGCATATACCAGCAGGATATACTTCAGATCCACTGGAGTGCTGTAGGAGACTGTTGCTTATTTTTGGTTTATGATGATACCTAGCTGTGCCAGCTGAAATCTGGGTCTTCTAGCAGTAGATAGCATCCAGCCCCTAAGTTGGAGACAGCTCCCAAATAAGCAACCCGTGACTACATCATGGAGACATACAGGGACTTTCCCAGAATAACGAGCAGATCAGTTTCAAAGTTAGAAATAAACTCTGGGTCGTCTGATGCATATTGCACTGGCCTGTTCACTAGCCTGTTCTACCAGTTAGGCTACTTGCTCGTGTGCCCATAAAAATTGCAGCAACCTGAAGTGGAGGATTCTCTCTACTTTTTACCATTAGGAAACAAGCACCTTTTTAAGTTCATAATATGCTCAATTACCTTTAGATTGATCCATGAATAAATTATAATCAAAACAAACTTATTCACCTTAAGCTCTCCTGGCTTAAGGTTTCATTGTTGATTCATTATGTTGTCAGTTTTCTATTGGCAGGGTAATGCTTTTTTACATGTGGATAGAGTTTTAGTGGAAGATACTGTTATCTTTAAATGAGTAGGATTTAGCTTTTCTGGTGAGAACAAATTCATCAATGATGAATCCCTGGAGAAGCTACTGAAACAAAAATCACAATGTTGCTGGAGATTTATACAGTTCATCAGTTAAAAGGCAGCTTTTGGAAGTCTTGATGGGGGGGAGGATTTGGAATTTTCCTTTCTTTCTGTAAAATACTCCAGCACAATATTTCAAGCTTCAAGTTTTGTGATAATGCAATTATAAACAATGAAATAATACCACTTAATATATTTATTTTGGCTCCGCTCTTGATGTTATCCCTCTAATAGAAACACATTGAATTATGGCTATATAAAGACAGATGGATACAAGTAATGCAACTATAGACATCACTGATACATATATATAAGTAGACAATAATTACCTAATTATTCTGCTTGTTGCAACCTTCTAAGCACTTGCTATGATCCACATATTCATATTAATTGTTTTTTTCCTAGGCAGATATTGATATGACAAAGATATCAGTGTATGGAGAGTTTAGTGACATTGGACTATCTGGAAATTAAAAAAAAACACGTACAGTAGAAAGATTTCAAAAGCAAACAGAGTTAAACTCACCAAGTTCTGTGCTTGTGCTTTCATTGGGAATTGTGCTATTAAGTCCCCCGTGTGCTTAGGAGGACATCCCCTACAATGATTAGAGGTGATTTAATTTTAAACTGTCTTAAATATCCATCTCTCCAGCAGTTATTTCAACAAGTTTCCACTTTTGCTATATCCAGTAACTCACTTCATTAAAATACTGTTTGCCATTTCATATGGCCTTGGACTCCAAAATGTTTGAAGCCATAGCTCTGAACAATAAGCAGTCTCATCAGCGTTCCCTATACCTGTGCATTACTCATAAGGGGAACCATCTTAAGTCCTTTCTAAGCTCCTGAGGCTACATTTTCATGTATTATTTATTGTTATAGAAAAGATTGCTGGTTTTCAGTGTTGTTTAACAAAATTTGGCTTGGCTGCTTGTGAACTACTAGACTCCAAGCCCATTTGTATGGGCACACAGTCACCACCTTCTGTTAAGTCAGTGGAAGCTCATTGTGTATGCCCAAGCCTGGACTAAAACCTAGGTGTTTCCTTAATTATTTTAAATGCCATTTAATCAATTTATTGATGGAAAAACAACAATGCACAGCAAAGACTAAGGTAGGATATTAGTTTTCTAGATTAATCATAATTTCATTTATTTTTAAAAGATACAGTTTATATAGTTTAATTTAACTGCATGCATGTCATTACGAAACATTTGAATTTTGGTACTGATGGCATTGCACACTTTTCAAAATGTCTGCTGTACATTCCAGTTTGCAGCTATGTTAGATGTAAAAATCTAAATACTTCCATCTCACAACTTAGAAAATTAATTAATTGCTTGTGTAATTTGCTCTTCACCTATACACAAAAATGAATTCTTTTTCCACACTTTTCCTTAGATCACCTATTTCATTTCAATATTTCAATACTCAGTATTTCTGTCCGTAGAAATTAGGAGATTGGGCATACATTAAGAGAACAGAAAAGTAAAGGATTTATTCTGCAAAGATTTGGGTATTCTTCGCAAAGATGATCTCCAATCAGTCAAGCCATGAACAACTGTCTCCTCTCTCTACTACTTCAGTTAAAACCTCAGCAAAATTAGCTGTGCTACCTACTCTGAAAGTCAGCAATTCAATTCCTGGCCGGGCAGGGAAGAGTCCAAAAATGCTTTGTCATCAGGTCTCCTGCCCTCTCAAACCCAAAGTTGTTGGCATCAGCACATAAATTATGGAGAGAAAATAGTTTCCCAGTGACACAGCTACTAATTATTCATAGCCAAAATGTATTTCTAACTGATGCAGCCTAGCAGACATATAAGAAAATGTTTTATCAAAATTTATATTTTTTAGATTTTTGCTAAAAGTCTTAGGCTTTCTAAAAGTCATATAAAGAATTGAGTCTCTATGTGTGTGCTTTAGAGCCTATTGATTAGATTGAAATCAGACAAATTCTTCCTTCTACTCGTTTTCCTGTTTAAAATAATTCTGGTTTTGCTGTCTTATTTGACTTTGGTATGTAAGGCCACTACCTTACTGCTGTTTGCAGTAATATTTAAAGCCTTATTTTAAGACATCCTAGAACATTTCCTTTCCAAGATCATGTATGGCAACTGCACAGAAAGGGAAGTTTGTTTGATGTCTGTAAGAAAGCCCTTGAACATGACATTCAGGAAGAAAGTTCCCATTGAACAGACAAAACAAGAGCCCATTGCTGGTGGGCTAACTTGGGCTACATCTAGATTTGGGACAGATGGGGTCTGCAACATCCCCCCCAGTTCTGGTCTTGCATTTGCCTAGATTGAGGCTTTGTCCCAGAGTACGGCTCAGTCCCAGCCTGCAGGAGGGCACCTGCTCTGGAGAGCACCATGAGACTGCGAGTCTTGTTCTGACTTGAAGTGAAAAATGTGTTGAGGCCACAAACCAAGTCTCAGAAGCACAGAAGCATTTCAAGGACCTCACCCTCTGCTGTATGCTCAGAGTGCCAAAAACCTAGCAGCCAAGAAAGCTTTTGTTTGTCATAACAAGAAGCCTGAGGTCCCAAGGTTGGGTATTGTGACTGACAGAGTTCATTGAGGATTTTTTCTCCTAAGGATTAGCAGAAGAACAGGGTAACCTCTTCTGGATTTACTTCATTTTAAAAAATAATAATTTCTAAATTTTTAAATAATTCTGGTTTTAAAATTCACATTGAAATTCCCTCTTAAAAAATTGATAACCACAGCAGCACTGTATCTTGTTCGATATGCTCTTTGAGGTTGTATTATTAGCTTGAATTAATGCTAGCAACTGCTGAGGCTATGTATCCCGTGTTACTACCTGCTAGTTTCTGAAGTACTGCAGTGACTTCTGGATGGGGTTTAGTTAGGTGGATAAAATACTTCTGCAGAATAAGGAACTGGTTTCAGGGGAAGAAGTGCATGGTCTTTTGCATCAAGCAAAAATCCATATTTTCTACCATTTTTCATTCACCTGAATCTGTGATGTGGCACACTACAGTTGTCCATATCTCTGCTAGGTAAGCAAAGGGACTTCTTCTTTCAGGAAGCTGGGTATTTTATGAAATCTGAACCAGCACTTTCATGTTCTTGGGTGAGACATCAGTTTTGCAGTTCAGTGAAATCTTCCTCTAGAGTTTGCTTAATTGGGTTCAAGGATTAAATGTTGCAGAAAAGACTGCAAGTGGGACATAGAGGTAAATTAGGAGATTAGAATGTGTTTCAGTTCACTTAGTGTTTGTTAGCCTTACTTTGACAGGTCAAGACAGCTTTCTGTTACCAGAATGCAAAATACATGTTTGTAAGCTTTAAAAATATATATTGATATATTCAGATATCCATACAAATAATCTTAAACCCAAGTAAACTGATATTTTTATGATACCTTTCCACATACTAGAGAAATAAAGTTACACATTTGAATTATTTAACATGATACATTTTTATATATAAGCAAGTATGCAATGGGGAAATATAAGACTTTTTGATGCTAACCTGCAATTCAGCTACTTTTCTGCTGTGGTATATTAATATCTTAATTTTCAATATATGTTTTCAAGTCAGATCTTGAAGTTCATATTTGATTTTTATTCATTTCTCACTCTGGTACAGTCTCACTGATTTCAATTTCAACTTACTGAATAAGAAGCAAGTTGCACGCAGCAAGGACTTAGGATCTCACCCTTGGGATCGGACTCACCTTTTTGCTACACCCGCTTATTAAGCATAATCATGTTTCCTGATTTTTGTTTCAGAAACTACCCAGTTTTGGGCCTTACCTGGAACAACGCAAAAAGATAATAGCTGAGAACAAGATTAGACTAAAGGAACAGAGCATGGCTGCTGTGCTTCCCGAGAAAAAGCATTTCATTCCGAAGAAGTCCATTCCAGCAATCAAGGTAACAAAAATACATGCTTACGCATAAGAAATGATCAGCCATCAGGCAGTTGACATGCACAGTCATTTCTAGCAGTTTAAGTTGGTTATTACTGCTTTTAAGCTTGTTAGAGGGCATCAAAGACAACTATTTATGCAGACTTTCTAGCTTTTAACAAAAATCGATGGGAAATTATTTGTAATGTAGATGTATAGGTATTTCGCTAATGTCATTTTTCAAAATGAAGATATGCAGGCAATGGATCGGTAATTGTAGAACAAGGCATGGGTAATGCCTTGAAGAACGAGGTAGAACTGTTAACAATTTCTTTCAGTTTTAATGCTACAGTATGAGCTCAGTTTTGCATGATACCTTTTGATTACTTGCGACGTGCTAAATACCTCAATCTCTCATGTAGGATCAATGGAAAAGGCTGGTGTTCAGTACATATGAAAGCTGTGTCATAGGTTTTCAGGCTGAACTTTTAAAGCTGGAGAATGTTTGTCTAAGTAGCTGATCCACCATCTACAACGAGTAAATGTCAAGGTGAAAATAAAACCTGTGACCCCCCCTACTGCATAATCCATACGTTGGAGCTTTTCCCTTCCCTTAAGTAGTCAATAAATGTCAATAAAATGAAACATCACAAGCTAATTATTCTAGGTTTTCACTTTAGACCTTACGTAAACTTCATGTCTGAATAGGAAAAAGAAGCAGGCAAATTTTTTTTTTTTAAATCAGGATTCTCATGTAGGCCCGTTTATAAAGCAGTGTGAAAATTATATCTGTTGAGCTTGTTGACTGTCTTCCTCATATATGTGAGAATATCAGATATCTACAGATAGGTAACTTTCACTGTATGATCAGACGTGTAAGAATTCTTGCAAAAATAAGGCCAAACATAAAATACAATACGAGCAGTGGCTCAAAATAACACATAATTCCCAAGGACATTTTGCAGTTTACCAACACATGCAGTATTCCAAGCTAACTGGTAGAACTGCAAAACCAGCCAAAGAGAAATTTTGAGTCATCCTCCTATTTAAGTTAAAAAGTTTGCCATGTCTGTAGAGCACTCTCAGTTTTTTGGATTGCTTATTCTGGTTTATGTCACTCTATTGAAAATTGCTCCCCTCCTCTTGTGCTGAGGTTCCCTTCTTTATGTATACAAAAAGTTCCAAAGAAGAGCAATCTACTCTTTTTTTTTTCCCACTATGATGAGCATTTTCAAAGCCTACTTGACCTCAGAGGTTTTATGGTTCTGTTCTCTTTGCAGGGAGAGTATTGATGTAGGAAAAAAGAGGGAAAAAGAGAAAGAAGAACCACCAGCCAATAAGTGCATTTTCAATGAGATAGCTTGCTTCTGAAAACAGCAGAAAACCAAAAAACTGATACCATCCAAAAGCAAATAAACTGAATGAAAGAAAAAGTTTAGCAAGAGGGAAAAACAGACATAAAGACTTGGAAAAAACATAAATAAAAAGTTGAGGTCAATAATTTATCAAGCATAACCCCAAGTACAAAAGCAAAAAAGAACCAAGTAGTAGGAGAGAGATTAAAAAGAAGAAAAGAGGCCCTACTGCAGGGAAGAGGAAAATGAATTCCCCAAAACAAAAACTTTTGTTTATAAAAGCATTGAATACCGTTGTGTGATGTCTGTGAGGAACTTCTCAGCCAGGGAAATCAGGTTAGCATCTTTCTCACACCTTCATTTAAATGAGACTGAAAAAGACTGAAGCAATTAGAAGAAGGTAGGGACCACCAAAGCTGATTCTTGACAGTTTTTCAGTCTGACCATCTCTTTAGAAGGGAATGTTTTAACCACAATGGGAAAAACAGCAGCAAGAGATACCCACTAAGAAATAGGAAAATACCTGGGTTTTGCTTGAAGTAGGGAACTTTACACTACAAAGGGAGGTTTTAATAATGTTTATTATTAATAGATCCATCTATTATTATAGTATGAAGAAAATCTGCCAGGAAGATTCAGAATATTCAATAAGGAAGCTGAGTGAAACTTAATGAAAAAAGGTGACTTATCTGATAGCCTTCCCTGATCAGGAATTCTCCACGGAGAGAGGCAGAGGAGCTCAGACTTGAGTGATTTATTTATAACTGTCCAAGAAGTATTCACATTTAGAATTACAAATCCCAGACCATCTCCAAGCACTTCTGTCTTGGCTGACCCTCTAAACAGAGAAGAGAATACATTCTGTTAGTTCAGACTAGGATATCAGGGGGTGGGAATGGTTAGCTCTTATAGCTAGTCCCAGCCTAACTCTAGTTCTCTGGAGCAGTGAAGAGGTATGCTTGAAAGCTGATCGGACCTGAGAGATAGCTGTCCTTGAAAGAGCTATGACCCCTGCTTTGGCTGGTTGTATTTTTGGAGGGTTGCTGCAAATTTCCTGATGCCTGCCCAGACTCCCTCATCTGCCTAATCGGCTGTTGGGTTGGTGATATGTAAATTCCAACATTTGTTTAAATTCCACATGCTGCCAAAATGCCTTTTTTTATAGATTTAAAAACCCTCTATGATTATCCAAAATCTAATTTAATTTTTGGATGGCTTTTCCCATGGCTTTTCTCTTTATTTTCTCTATTTTTTTATATTAATTGGAACTGCATATTTTGATATTCAGCAGAGTTCTTTCTCCTTTTCTCACTTGTCTGTAATATCAGAATTTCTGCTGTAAGTGGATATGTGCCCTGGATCTTTTCTTTTCAGTTGCATTTTTGTACAGCTCCCACACATGTATTTGCCTACCTCAGGTTACCTCCTTATTACTTCAATTTCTTTCCTTATACATTCCTGTGTTTTTTTCCTAATAATTTAGTTCTTTGTCCTTCAGGGCCTATACCATAATATTCAGTCACCATTTATCTGCTTATTTTATTTCTTCCTTTTTTACTCCACAAGTCTTGCTGCAGAGATTGCCCTGTTTGATAGTTTAAACACTCTGGCATAGCTCTGTTTGTTAGCTTAGCTAGGGCATGACACGTTGTTCAACCTGTTGGAAAACTATCCGTAGAGATCCTCAAGCTTCAATTCCTTGTGTTTGAACTATTTTTCACCCTTGTGTGTACAGATATGTTTACATGGTCTTTCGCACATACATATATGCAAGTCTTTTTATGCTGATGCTGTAAGCACCCAGCTGGAAGCTAGCACCTCAGGAGGCATCTAGCCACATCTAGTCCAGTGCTGTGTTTAATCTATAAAATCCTCTTGAGAGGTGAGGTATATTTATCTAAGCCCAGCACTATTAAGCCATAATGGTATACCGTTTGGATCCTTCCTGGCATTTATCTGGGTGGTTCAACATGAGTAGTTTTAGCTTGTGCTTGCCTGCCTGGAAAAGACCATATTGTAATCTTCATCATAAACGTGGAGCTGTTGCATATTTCAAGTGAAACTATGCATGTGTCTCCCGTAATTTATGGGACTCTGAGTCTGCCTCTCCCAAGTATTTGCTCCAACATGAATCGCAGCAATAATCTCTCCTGCAGTAGCCCATAATGATCCCTTCTCTACCACAGTACTTCAGAGAATATTCTCATTACATTTGACAGTTTAAGCAAATTTAAGTTAGTCTTCAGATATGGGGAGAAATCCTAGAATCCAAACTTTCTCTTTC